CCCTTCAATAAATGAATCAAAGTATTATACCCATATGATAGACACTTTTAATGGCTTTTCTAACTAAATAATTGTATTATCTTTCTTAACATTTGTACAACACATACACCACACTTAACTAAATTACAATTTTAACGATATTCATTCTATTCTCAAAATTGTTTGGCTGGTATTTTATTCCTTCACGTTTTGTAGGACGCTAATCACATAACGTTCTATTCCTACTGAACCCATTAAACAGTATCAAAGTGCAACTCTAATTACACTCATGTAGCAAAAATGAATTGTGTTTCCCCTTTCCATGTTAACTCGTACTGAATTCGAAACGTTTGTTAAATTTTAGCGAAGTTGCGGCAGTTACAGTCTACCGTGCTCTCGAAAAACACCTCTTGTACATTTTCTCAAACTTTTCCACAGTTTTTTCCAAACGTGTTCCACAGTTTTTTATCCGTCTGTGTTCAGTTCAGTCCCTATCCACTTGAGACGACGCGATGTGTTGTTTGTGCGTATGTATACAGTTTCATATTTGTTACTTTTTAATTGCCAATAATCGTCAATGAAAAAGGTTGCGTTAGTATTCCATTTATTTGTAAACTTAACGGAAAAGATAGATGACAATTGTTGGGGACAACGTATCATCCTAAGTTTACGATACAGTCGACGCATATGCTATTTTTGAGGACTTGAACATTTTATTTTCTTAGCATGCACTTAAGAGGATACATCACTCTGAAGCTTTCGAAAGAAAATTTGAAGATAGGTAACAGTTTGCGAATTTTTTCCCCAGGTCACTATTACATGGAAAAGATCAATTTTTTGGAGGATATAAACGTAACTTCCAGTTCTTTTCTCTAATTTTTAAAAAGTAAAAATGTCACGAGCGGGTAAATTTATATGATTATAGCAAAAGTTATTTGCAAATAATGAATAAATCTATTTTATTCGTTCTTCGAAATAAGCTTTGCCCAACACTGCAATCAACCGATCGTAATAGCAGAGCGCGCGAATCACTTACCTGAGAAACGGGGCACAGCGGTTCTTTAACAGCTCATGTTAAAGCGATGTTAATTTTAAAGATTTCATCCTAAAAACATCTGACTTTCGAGGAAAAATTTGAAAAATAAGCATTTGTTTGTAATTTTTAACACTACAAAATGAATATTTCAATTTAAAAAAATTTTATTAAGATAAGTCGAATAATTTAGATTAAAAATAAAAAAAGAATCAATTCAATATAAAGATCTGTATTTTTTAAACAAATTTGAAACCAGCAAAATTGTCTTAAACTCCGTTTAATTTCACATGGTCTACATCATATTTCATTTTGAATAAAATCCCTGACGTTGATGTCAAAAGTGATCGATTTGGCGTGGAAAGACCAATGGGGCTGGCCAGTGACGCGATATACCTACTTGAACATCGTTACGTCTCGAATCCCACTATCTCGATCTTTTTTTCTCATAATCTAACACGTTTTTCAGTAATTTTCGAACAATGGATAAAATAAATATTTCGACATCTTACTATGTAGCTTAAACTGACGAAGTGTCGCGAAAAGAAAAATATACTGCATAAAAAATACTTATGTATAAGGATGTATCTTTTTAGCTGCAATCGCGTCACTGGTAATTTTGCAAATTTTTTTCTTGCATACTTATGCAATGTGTCGTTGGTTTTGAGGATCAGCCCCCGTGTCTTGACGTGCTCTATTTGTATTCGTTAGTGTAAGGAGGTTTGCCCTGCTGCGGGGATAACTTCAAACGTTAATAATTAAAAAACTAAGCCTCAAACGCAATTTTTTTATTCCTGATTTTTGTCTTATCTCAGCTTCTAGAATTACCCCTTCAATTTTCTTCCGAACACCCTGTATATTACACAAGTATGTGAGAAAAATTGTGTAAAATTACAAGTGATGCAGTTGCAACTAAAAAGGTAGATCTTTCTAAGTATTTTTTACGCGACATAAATTTCTTTTTACGACACTTGATCAGCATAAACTACATTCAACTACCTCCCAGGAGTGACCGAACGCCTTGCGTAGCCTTATTTTCTATCTTTATTTTCGAGTTAGCCGAATAAATAACTTTCTTGTACAAAAATGCACACATTTTGGTTGCACGTTAGATGCACTATTTTTGAGCTAGTTGAATGAATAACTTTCTGGCCCCCAAATTCGAAAAATGATTGGACCCCCAGGCATATATGTATCCGTTGATATAAAAAAAATATAAATGTGCCAATATTTACGAATTCTCTTGCTGTAGGCAAAATTGCATTAAAACGAACGTGATTCCACTGGATGTTTCATATAGTATACTCTATAGATGCGACATTATGTAAATCTTACATAACACTGTAAATTATTAGAATAATACGCATTTGAAATGAAAGTATGCGTTTCTTACGTACCTAAAATAGTGACTTCTTTCTAAGGAAAAGAGAAAAACAGTTAATTTCAAATTTTTCCAAATTTTGTCAAATTACGTATTCCTATATGTGGTTAAGAGTGTATTTTTGATTTATTTTGATAGATTATACGTGTAGGATTGTGTATATATGCAAAGGCCGC